ATATTTGTAATGGTTCATTTTGATTTAATAAATAAACGACACCAACCTGATTGAGGGAAAAAAAAAAAAAAAAAAAAGAAATGATATTTATCTACTGAAAATATATATATATATACATTTCTTATTATATACAATATCAAATAAAAAAATAATGCTTATATATGGACAAAACCTTTTTTCCCTTAAAAAAAACAATATTTTACATATGCAAATTGAAATAAATTAAATGCTAATTTGCTTATAGTAATTATTTAATTTTTATTAAAAAAGAAATTTTAAAACTGTATATTAATTAAATAATGTTTAATATTTGTAAATATTTATTTAAAATTATCTTGAAGAATAATATTATAATATTTAAAAAAGAAATTTGTAATGTATGATATAAAGTTAAGATTGTTTTGAATTAATATTTTTGGAGCTAATATGAAAAATCAATTTTATATTATTAAAAGAAGAAGTTGAGCTAATATTATAATAAGAAAAAACATTGGTTTATATATATTGATATTGTAATTATTGTTGTTTTGATTTTTAGGTTTTAATATTTTATTCTACTTGATGCTAATAAATAGTGAAGTGTTTTTGTACTGTAGCAATATTTTTATATGAGGTTGTAAAATAATATAAGAACTGGTGAATACTTTAATTCAGTTGTAAATATTGACAGTTCTAAAATATATTAGTGATTATTTCATATGTTAATTCTATTACTTGTTGTATATTAAAAATTAAATGAATATTATTGTCTGGATGAAGTATTATATTAATTGAATTTATAATCTATTTGGTTTCTTTCTTTCTTTTAGAGCAGAAGTTACATTTGAAACAATATAGATATTTGAAATGTTCAAAATATGTTATAAAAAAATTCTTGTATAGAAAAAGTACCTGAAAGTAATTTAATTCTAAAGGCTACCAGATTACTATAGTTATTATATAAAAAATTTTTATATATCTGTTGAATAAGTTAATTATTTTAAGACTAAAAGTACTAAAAATTAATTAAATATATATTAAAGATTTTTTTATATTATTTTGAGTAACTTTTCAAATCTGTATTGTTTATAATAAAATTCTTTGAAAATATCAAGTTAAGTTGTTCTATTATATATAATTAATAGTTCTAATGTTTAATAAGATTAAAAGAGATAGACTTTTGTTTTACCAAGTATTTAATTATCAAGATTAAAATAGCAAAGTTAATTTTTATTCATTTTTTGAAAAAGTTAAAAAAAATTTGAATTATACTTCTGTTGTTTATAACTTTAATAATATGTTGAAAAAAATATTATTGAATAATATTATAAATCATTAAGAACATGTTATTAATGAAAATTTTGGATTAGATATTGTAATTTAATGTTATTGACAATTATGTCTTGTTAAAAAAATTGAATATGGTATAAGTTGTATTGGCCAATTATAGTGTAGCAGGTATAATGTTTATTGATTGAAGAATGTATTTATTTTTGAATAAAAAGATTACTAATTTTTTGTAATATTGCATAGATTAAAACAATCTTTTAAAATTATATACAAAACACAAAAAGCTAAAAATAATCTTCATAAAAAAAAACTATAAACAAAATTATTAATCAATATATCTTAAACCTAAAAGTCAATCCAAAGATAATGATTCAATAAATACTAAATTATAAAAAATCCAAAGTATTATTTATTAAAATAATTGCTCCTATCAAAGAAAAAATTATAAATTATTACAAAAATGTTTTTTACGAATAAACAACTAATAATAAACTTTTATTTAAATAAAACAAATACTATACTTCACTATACAATGTTAACCTAATAATATTGTTATAGACTAACTGAAAAGTTGATTTCTAATCTATATTACTTATCATATTGTTTAGTTTACAATAAAGTAAGTTTCTTTTTTTACTCACGAGGCATGCCTTTAATTTGACCAGTTTTACATTCAAAATTTAGATAATTATTCAAGTAATATATTTTAATTAAATTATTACAAAAGTAGGTTAAATATTTCTTGTCTATTGCTTTTTAAACAGAAGTTTTCTTGGTTTTATTTCAGTAAATTATAAAAATTTTAATATTTCATTACTAAAGAAAAAAATATTTGGTTTTATTAATAACATAATCATTAAATTACTCACATTAGTAAATAAAAAATATATAACTTTTATTATTTATTTTATTTAAAAAAACAATTTATATTTTTTTAATATATGATTCAAAAAAGTTTATTTAAATGGGTAATTATTTTCGAAGGTGGACCGGAAATTTTCTGGTGTGTTCCTAAAATTTATATTATATACAGTATTTATTGTTTAAAAGCTGGGTCCGAAAAAATCATATCTAGCATTTTTGTCGCCTTCAAAAATAAATACTCAAATAATTAAATTCTATATATAGTTAAACTACTAAGAATTTAAGATTCAAATTTATACTTCAAATCGTTATTATAATTTAAATAACATTACTAACTTTATAAGATTTTTATTTAAAACTTGTTATTCTAGCTTAAAAAATCAACCATTAATATTTTTAATGCTATTATTATTAAGTTCTCAAATCAATTTTTAATTTAAATAATTTATATAAATTTATTATTAGGAATGTAATTGATGAGTTTGTCACTACATTGCAATTACTGATCATGTAATGTTTGAATAGAGGCATGTGGATTATGGCATGAGGTAAGTGAAAGTGTTAGGTATGGAGCTGAATGTTTATGAAAAAGGTTTTTATTGTCAATCTTCTCTCAATACAATTAGCTCTATTTTATACATACAAGAAAAACCTAAAAATTCCAAAAAATACTTCAGGCTTCGATTATACTGGGTGAGAATATCATGCGCCTTTACTTTATAATTTTTAACCCTTTTACACTACCCAAATACTTCCCCTGTTGAAAGTCTCTACATTAATTCCTTTTTCATACCATAAAATGCCCGCTCAATCATTTGTTGGTGTTTCTCTGTGAGTGGAAACAGAACTATCTGCGTGAATTTGTGTTAATTTTGTCAAATATTAAGAACTAGAATTTATGAAAATACTGTACCTGCCTTTTTATTTTCTTTGCTTTAATCGTCACCTTCAGATAAATTGGAGGCCAATTCATAATAATCACCTACCTTTTTTTCAGTTGATCTTTGACGTTTATTTTGTTCCGACTGATATACTTGATTCAGAAATTCGTGGTGGTTTATTAATTTTCGATTCAGAGAAATGGGTGTTTGTACCAACATCATTGCTTCCATTATCTTGAATTTCAGTATGCGGTTACTGTATATTAAAATAACTTCATCGGAACTGGAGAACCATGCTCCATTAGGAACTTTGACACCGTCGATTTATTGTCCGAAGCAAAGCGTAGGACCTATACTTCTACGCATAGTGATATCGAATGTCTGTTTGTCCGCACGCCATAT